GGTTGACTTGGGTTGGAGCTTCCAAATTGACCTGAGTTGGAGCTTCCCGGTTGACCTGGGCTGGAGCTTCCGGCCTGACTTGAGCCAGAGCTCCCGGGTTGAGTTGGACTCGAGGTCCCCGGTTGCCCTAGGTTGGAGCTTCCGGGTTGCTCTGGGTTCGGGACTCCCGGTTGACTTGGGTTTGAGTTCCCAGGTTGACTTGGATTGGAGCTGCCAGGCTGACTTGGATCGGGGGCTCCGGGTTGACCTAGGTTCAAGGTCCCCGATGGACTCGGGTTGGAGCTTCCAGGTTGGCTTGGGTTTGAGCTTGTGCTTTCACTCACGCTGGAGCTCTCGAGTTGAGTTGTGCTCCCACTTGAGGTTCGGATCACGTTGGAGATCGAGGTTTGGGTTGCGTTAGAGTTTGATGTTTGGCTCGCATTTAAGCTTGATGTTCGGTTTATACCAGAGATCGAGGATAGGGGTGCAGAAGGCACTCGCGCGGGGGGAAGATTCCGAGCCGGGCTTGAGAAGCTATTAGGAAGTTCAACACCCAGAAAGCTGGCGCATGTTTCGGGATCCAGGCCATCAGGGCAGCACAGACCGCCAACAAGACAGTAGGTTCCGGATAAGCAATCTGGGATCGTTAATTCATACTCATAAAACTCGCTGAATATCTAACGCACAATAGCTAGTACTGCTATCACAGCAAGTATCCCCGTTATCGATATCAAGGCAATATATACCGCATGCCGCCAACCCAACAGACTGACAAGCGTTATTAGAAAACAGGGGGGAGGTTGGTAGAACGGATGTTGTAGCCGTCGCGTTGTTCTGGCGAAGGACGAGGCCTGTAGTGCCCGGGTGGTTCTGTCTAGGGTAGGCGTTCCCAACACTGACAGCGAGGTAGAGGAAGAAAATTAATTGCAACATTCTAGTAAAGCGCAAGACCTGAGTTCAGAAGAGGAACCCCGAAGGATGGCAGGAGGGAAATAGCTGAAGACTTTCAGACTGAAAAATGCGAGGAATCCCTTTCTTTATAGTTAGCCTCGGCAAAGAACTCCCTGTAAACTGGAGGGTATATTTCGTACTCCGGCCCCGATACGCAGACGATTTTCTACCACATGTTTCATTCAATCCCTGCCCCCGTGTACTTCATACGCCGGACAAGTACCGCAGCAATTTCATCACGGTTGGGAACGAATACTAGGCTCTCAAGGAAACCACCCCGCTACCCCGAAGTTACCAACCCTCCCTCACAGTGCAGCGGGTATGTTGCGCAAATGTGTCACACTCCGTTGCAAGGACTGGGGGCAGGCCCCCCACGGTTGGACAAGGCATCTTGAACTTAGATGAGGGGTATTCTGCACCCCTGCAGTACTCAACATTGCTTAGATCACGGATGCGAAGATCATCTCCTACACAGTTACAGGAGCGGGAACCAGGGCAAAAAAAAAAAAAAGAAGAGAGAGAGACCCCATGATCATCAGGAAGAAAGAGACCAAGGGGGGTGACGTGCGTGGCTAAAGGAGACCCCCGGTTTTAAATTCCCGCGGTAATGACTGTACTGTGCAATCGAAGTGAGCGCTCTCCCGGTCCTGGATAGGATCAGGGTGCCGTAGGAACGACCCATCACGAATCGGCCCGAGTACCGGGGAAACCTGAACAATTGGACCGGGTGATGTCGCTGTGCTTCCGACTCTCACGGGGACCCGGAATTTCCGACCTTTTTTATCTCGGAAGACCGAAAGGGGATGCGCATTTGCTGCTCTTTTGGCCCACTCTTCGGAGGGGAGAATGTTTTCCTGCATAGCACATTGATAGTTCAATCGATTGGTTTTTACAGATCACAAATACGCTGAACGGGTTCCCTCCCATCAACCCCTAAATGTTTTACCTTTTCAACGCGAGATTTCGAAGAACCCTAGTCAAGGCCAGCTCACCAAAATTTCATATGTACCGAGAGGACGAAAAAGCATCAGCCTACCAGAACAGGAGTTTCAGGAGAACTTAAATTTAGAGCGACATACCCATAGAAAATTGAGAGGTTGAACTCAATCCCACCGACCCGCCGCAACGGGACCCCCCCTCCTAGCAGTCCCGCCCCAGTCCAGACTTGTGAAGTCTTCTGAAGCGACGAGGGGGCAGATGAAACAAGAGCATAAAATTGTAGACAGAACACGTACTAACATGAGCCTTCACGAGCAATCAAGCCGGCTCCCTTTGGTGTTGGTTTCGGTGACTAACGACAACGCTTTGCAATAGCCAAGTTTTCCAGTGAGACGGAGAAATAGACCCGATTAGAGGCACTACAAGGATCAACTCTCGGGCTGCAAGGGGCGCGATTCGCTCTATGAATCAATTTTCTTCCCCCCCCCTTCATTCACCGCCACCAATGGGAAAATTGGCTTCTCCACGCCTCACGCGCCCCGCGAACTAAGTTACCTAGAACGAGGCTCCCCATTGTGCTACTATATACTATACTTTACTACACTGTACCGTCACTGCACTGTACAGTACTACATGGACTATGCCCAAACGACCCGTATTACATCTCGATCCCTTGTCGGGAGGC